TCTACCATTTGATAGGTTAATGGGCTTATGAATTATTAATGAGTTTTTGAAGAACAAAGAAACCGCGAAACTTATCCTGATGACAATACGATCATCTAAGTCTCTCGTCATACTTCTCAACGAAAATGTAGTCACGAGCTAGCTGGGTGACATTGTCAGTATGTGTTCAGTGCAGTCTAAGATTCATCTCACAGTTGCGTGGTCATGCTGGTTCCATTGCTGTGACTTATTCTTTTCTTTTCTCGTTGAAGCTGTGAATAAAATTCAAACAGAACACTCATTTCGGCAATATTAGCCCCTGCCGGCAGACCATACCACTAGGTTTATGGAGAAACACGAGGTTGGGTAAACGAACAGTTTGCCTTCGTCCATTGTTCCCGAGATAGAATCCGAACTTTAAGAGTTTTTTGGAGGGAAGAAACCAAAGGACGAGAACCAACAACGCACTAAACCCAGAAGTGACCTCAGGTCGGAGAAATCGTACCCGGGCCACAATGGTCTTCTGCCCTCCTTTCCCCAATATGCTAGCCCCCCTCCCCTCCCCTGCTAACCCCACCATCACCATCACCACTTTTATCTGGCTTCTGACTACATACCATGTCTAGCATTTCCCTAAGTCGCTGAAGTTCTCCATCCTTGTTAATGGTGTCTTTACCAGAACAGGAGCGTTTAGCTGTGGTGACGGTAAATGTATCCAACGAGCTGAACGTGCGCGTTCGAGCACGGTACTCCTCGTTTAATCCGTTTTTCCTAAGCGCTGCAATCTGAGAAGAGTCAATCAGTCACTTTTTTGAAGAGTTATGAAGGGGATTTGAGATGATGGAAAATGGAAAATCATCATCATTATCATTCTCAGTACTGTCATCATAAACATCATCGTCATTAATTATTACTGTTTTTAGACGAGAAAATATCTCTCAGAGGTGGATTATAGAGAGTTACTAGGAAAAATAATCATTAAAATGGTTTAAAGAATAGAACTAATAACCATCATGTCCCTTCTCAAAATAATTTTAAATTTTGTACTTTCCCCTTTTGTCAGAGATGCTTGCAACGGGAAAGTTGACCGCACGAAAAAAAGGGAAAAGAAAAAGGAAAAATTTAACGTGAAGAAGGATGCATGATGCTGCAACAGAACTTGGGAAGGGTTACAGGTTAACCAACCAGCTGTATGATCAGTTAGGCGAAATTGCATTGTACAGAAGGATGGAAAATTAGTTAGTCACACAAATCTATTTAATTTAATGTTTACCTCAGTAGAAGAGAATAGTGATCAAAATGGATAACAAAAGGAAAAAATTCATGCCTGCTCGTTTTGAAAGTCTAAAGATGACATTTTTTTTTAAACGAATAGCATTCGTGTTTATAACTCCACTCAGGGAATCCTACCTTTGGTACGAACACAATGCAAAGGGTAGAAGTTGTGCTAAAAAGAATGCAGATGCCTGTTACTATAAACGACGCCTCGAATTGCTCTTCGTGTACAAAAGTTACAACTGGAGTTCCAACAATGCAAACGATAACGACGTTGTAAACGGCCATACCTGAAAAGACAGGGTGAAATAACCATAACACAATTATTTCACACATAGCAGTGCATTTGAAGCGAGAAGAGGTGTACGGAGATGCCGTTTACACTCCTTCCCGATACCAAAAACCTTTACATTCTCATATCCTACTTTTCAGATCAAAGAATACCCTTTCATAAATTTACAGAAGAGTTCTACATCCCGAGCCTAACACACCATGTAATGACAAAAGACAAGAAAAAAAAAATTAGCAAGGGTTACAGTTTGAGAAGTATTCAGTCGTTCTTTCCCCATCCCTCAGAAATCAGCTCGTAGACACTTTCCGAAAAGAAAATGGTTCGTTCACCAGGACCTGGGTTGGGCCTAAACTCGTGAAAGTTTTACAACCTTTCATAATCCGTCTTCAAAAAGGCCTCAGTTATACAAGAAATTTCAACGCACACACTCCCAAGGCGAGAAGGAAAAAGATCACCAATAGTTCTAGTTACCGGAGAGGTTATTTCAGTTAAAAACTACCTATATGATGAGAGTCATTCAAGGCAGGAATCTTAACATTTCTTGTCTCCCAAGCCAAGAACAAACCAAACAGGAGCAATATTCCCTTGTAGGAATACAACAAGCCCAGCCAGATTTCAATGCGGTTGACTTCACACGTATATGTGTACGGCAATTGAAGAATATTGTCATCCTCGTGATTGTTCTGTGAACAAGCAGACCACATTCATCTTATTAGGAAGATTATAAATATTTGGTGGAGGCACAAGAACCTAGGGAACAGCGAGTACACAGGACCTGAGAAACGGTGGGTACAGAAGACCAGTGGACTGACAACGGGCACAGATCTACGAAAGGGAAAATACAGGAAATGGGTTTTTTTTTGCTGAATTGGGAGAGAGGGCTTTGACTCATTGTCACTTAACCAAAACCTATTTCAGTCCTGTGTTAAACCTTTCGCGTTTTTCCCGAATGAGGACTTTAAACCTTTTTTGAGAGGAAAAAGGAACTTTCAAAAGTACAATGT